GTGATGATTTGCTCCAGGCCACGCCCCACGCCGCCCCCCACCCCTCCCAAATAAACCTCCAGACCCGACGCTGTCTCTTGCTTGTGTTCAATATGAGCTAGTTGTTTTATCTTTGTAGTGGTGGAGGCTGAACTCCCTTTCTCTACTAGAGAGGGAGTTTAAAAGCGCTCAGGGTTCGCGCTCCAACCCTTGCCTCTTACTTCCGGGGCAGAGTTAGGTCTTTCCATACTTGTTTTCACTAAATAATCGCAGCCACCTGCATTAAAGCCACAGGCTATGTATGTGTTTCTCAGCTGCTCCAGACTACCAGGCTCCTGCATATTTCCTTAAAATGTTGCCTTCTTTTGCTTCTTCCGGCCCAACTTCATCCCCTCCTGGTTAAGAGCTGCTCTTAGTCCCTTCAGGGTTAGAACCTCCACCTGAATATCCCCCGTTCCTTAATTATCTGTTGGATTTCTAGGAGGGCACGACCTTGCGTATCTTATGTTAACCCAGCACAGTTGCCTGCAAGAGGGACTGAATAACTCATCAGGAGTGCTCACATACGTTGCCTAATGTGACAAAACTAGTAAATGGCAGAGTCAGAATTCGAACCCAGATTTTGTCTGACTGCCAAGACTCATGCCTTTCCCACTAAACATTGGGACCTAATCTGCATCTTCAGTTCTTCACTTCTCTCTGCAAGGAACTCCTTCAACACTAGGAACTTCATCTGTAACCCCATTCCCCAACTAACAATCAAGACTTTCAGATTTTTTCCTCATCTATGATTTTGTCTATATATTAAATCTTAACAAATGTCTGAAATAAAATTCAATATCATGGATTATATTCACTAAAAGTAATAAAATTATTTAAAAGAGAAAATTTAGCTTTTCAATACAATTCAAGTTTGTAAAAATTAGGACTGCCCTTGCCCTTCGTACCTTATAGTTTTTTCACCCTCTAATAATTTTCAGTCCTCTTGATAATCTGACTTTAACAACTGAGTACCCTGTAGGTGCCCAAATCCTTCCTTACCTTGTGCAGTTTGCTGACAAATAGTTTTAGGTGTTTAAGAGGGTAAGGTTTCTTATCTAGGAAATTCCTTTAAAGGATACATAAGAAAGAACACAGGACTGGAAGCCAACAAGCATGAATTTCAGCCTTTGTTCTGTCCTTTGGAAAGTCTTTCAACTATTTACACCTCGGTTTTATGCTCAGTGGGGCATTGGATCAGTGGATCTCATCCCTAGATGGTATAGCAGAGTCACCTGTGGCCTTTTAAAAGCTCCATTTGCCACCAGTGAGGCCCAGAATCTGTATTTTCTCCCAAATTTTCTATAAAGAGGCATTTCAAACATATCAAAAAGTTGAAAGAATAGTGCAATGAACACATCATATACCCAATGCAATCAATGTTAACATTCTACTCTCTCTGTATACTATTTGAATAAATAAATATATTTTTATATATGGTTTTTTTGCTAAGCTGTGTGAAAATAAATTGCAGACGTCACAAACCTTCACCCCTACACATTTAAGTAGGTATCTGTCAAGACTAAGATTACTATAACTATACTACTATTTTCACTTCTAAAAGATTAACAATAGTTTCCTAGTATCTAGTCCATATTCAAACTGTCTTTTATAGCTGGTTTCTTCAAAAACAGTACCCAATGACTAAGACAACATCTCTGTCTCCCTCAGAATCTGGCATCAAACTTTTGCCTCCCCTCCTTCCTCCTCTCCATAGAACCTGTTCTGGTGAGGGCCTTGACCCCTACACAACCAAATCTCATGGTCAATTCTTGAGCCTCATTATACTCAGCATCTATCAGTATTGTTTTTACACAGTTGCTCACTCCCTCCTCGTGAAAAACTATCTTCACTTGGTGTCCAGGTATCCGCTCTCTTGGTTTCCCTCCTTCCTCATCAACAATTCTTTCTCCATTTTCACCTCACCATTTTCACCCTTCAGTGGAGGCATGCCCAGGGCTCAGTCCTCGAATCTCCTCTGTCCACACTTATCCCCTTGGTGGTCACACCTAGCTTGGGTTTTGAAACACCCAGGAGCTGAAGATTTCCAAATTTATATCTCCAGTCTCAACCTTTCCTCTGGATTCCAGATTGGTGTATTTAACTGCCTACTTGATATCACATAACCAAAATCAACTTCCCGAACTTGGTCTGTACCCGTAAGGCATCCCCCATCTCAGTATGTGGCAATTCCATGTTTCCAGTTGCTCAAGTAAAAAGCCCAGGAGCCAACCAGACACCTCGTTCTCTCATGACCTATATGTAATAAACCAGTAAATTGTGTCATTTGAATGTTACCTAATCAGTGAAGCCTTCCCTGGCCACAGAAAGAAAGCAACACACACACACACACACACACACACACACACACACACACACACACACCCTCCCTATTCTCCTTACCCCACTTTACATTTTCCTACCGCACGTCTCACCATTTAGTATTTTTTGGTGTATTTGTTGACTTCCTTATTATCTGTCTTTGCCTACCACAATGTAAACTTCTTAAGATCAGGAACTTTGTCTTATTCACTCACTGCTGTATCCTGGCACCAAGAACAGTGCCTCCGACACCTTTTGACTGTCTGCTGAGTGAAAGAATAAATGAATCCGAGATGAGAGGCACCATGCCAAAGTTAAATTATTAATATTTATGTTTAAATGGCAAACAATGATAAGTATTTGTGTATTAATAGTTTCGGGGTTCAGGAGAATTTATAAGCTTGTTTCTAAAAAGAGATAGCATATGAATTATTTCTTGAAATTTCTGAATGGAATAGAAAGGAAGCAGCGACTGTCTAGTCTCATTACTTCAACCTGCACCCACCTGTTATTTACACCTAACACTTTGTTGGCAGTTGGTAAGTGTTAATTAAAATGTTTATTAATACAGATGTAATTCCTGATTTGGATTGGAGGGGAGGATTTCCCGGATATACATAATGAGCCCTCTGTGCCTTATTAAAGTGTAGAACAATTAGAGAATCCTGGTAGCCCAAGTGGAAGGGGTGAAGGCCTTAGGGGAGGGGCATCCACCTCTTTGCAGGGGGAGGTGGGGGGGGGAGGTACAACTGTTTAACCTGGATTCTCAGCCCAGGAAAGCAGATGTTCAACATTTATTGAACATCTTCTCTTGCAGAGCTTTAGATGCAGTGTCTGTGTGGTGTCAGTCAACACTGAATTCCCAGCACTTAGCACGGGGTTTCAAACCCAAGGATCTGGAGGTTACTCCACTCCTCCTCTGCTATTCTGAGAGGCCTCTAACTGCCCATTTTCCAGTCCACTTTCATACCTATGTCCCACCTGACTTATGGTTGGGAAGTACAGTCATTGTTCTTATCTATAGGGTCAGAGATCCTGGCTCCCTGACTTGTTCTAGGGGCCTGGGAACATGGGCAGTGTGGGAAAGGAGACTCTACAGAAGGCCAAGGCTCCCTGCAAAAAGCTAGCACCTTCCCAAGTTTAGACACCCCTAAGCAGAAGACACAGCTTCAAAATTAGCTCCTATGCCTCAACAGCTTCATATAGCAAAGACTTCCTGAGGGAGCAAGACTAAAAGCTGGCAAGACCTGGGGGCACCAGCTGGGCTCAGTCTGTGTGTGGTGAGTGTCCTCAGGTTGGCATTCAATGCCCTCTATAATCTAGTCTCAGCCTCCTGATTAGGCCCATCTCTCTCCACGGGGGTCCTTTCTGGGACACTGGGAATCAGTCCCTTTCTAGATGAAGTCTTTCCAGACCCTCCACTCCTCCTCCCACCCCACAGGTCCCCTCCACATATTCCTCTCAGAGCACCTAGTATGCTTCCCTGCACTCCTCAAACCACTGGTCCACCTCCCCGACACTGGCATCTTAGTCTCTCGAAGGCCAGAACTTCTCTGAATCTCTGTACATCATCCCCCTACTCCCCAAGCAGGAACTCCTGAGGTCGCTGCCCTACTCACTTTGACAAATGTAACTGAGTACCTTCTGTCCCCAGAGAACCCACCTCCAGCCATTCTCTTCTATCTTCCTCCCCTCCTAGGCCCATCCCAAGGCAGGCAGAGTTGGGGAAGGAGGTGGAGCCTGGGAAAGAATAACAGCAAAGGCACGGTGTGTGAAAACTGAACAGTGAGCATCCTCTTGGGGCTCAAGTGTGTGAAGAAGTGAGGGAGATGAGCTAGAAAGGGTGGCTGGAGCTAGGTCATGAAGAAACCAGGATGTTGTGGTCCCGTAGCCGTGGGACAGTTAGGTGATGTGATCAGACCTGTGTAGGGGCAGCATCTGAAATCACACAGTTTTCCTGGCTAATTGGGAGAGATAGGGACTCTCCCATCCCACCAAACAGAACATTCCCAAGAAGCAACAACAGGTACTTTCTCTGCTCTACATGCTAATGCCTAACTTATTTAATTAACACATGTATTTGGTGTTTCCTTAAAAATTGGCAAGTTTTCCCTGCTTATTTATTATCTTAGACCAGTCACTGAGCCCTTTTTGAGGTGGGGAAAGGGAAGGAGGAAGGTGCCATGGACACCTTTAAGAATCTGCTAAAAGCTATGGCTTAGCTTTGCCAGGAAGTGCACATATGTTTATCCAGAAGCAATTTTACCTGGATTTTCCAGTGGCCCTCAACCTTGGCTGCACATTGGAACCACCTGGGGAGCTTTATAAACCACTGATGCCTATCTCCCACATGAGTTTTTAAATTAATCAATCTGAGTGCAGTCCAGACATCGGGTTTTTTTTTTTTTTTAACGTTTATTTATTTTTGAGACAGAGAGAGACAGAGCATGAACGGGGGAGGGTCAGAGAGAGAGAGAGGGAGACACAGAATCTGAAACAGGCTCCAGGCTCCGAGCTGTCAGCACAGAGCCCGACGCGGGGCTTGAACTCACGAACCACGAGATCATGACCTGAGCTGAAGTTGGACGCTTAACCGACTGAGCCACCCAGGCGCCCCATGACATGGGGTTTTTTAAACTCCCTAAGAGACTCTAAGGTACACTCAAGATTGAAAAGTACTGGGTTAGAATATGTGGTTGCCAAGCTAGGACCCCTATCTTAGACCGTAAGTTCCAAGTGTGTCCATTGAACTTCACTGGTGAGCAGCACCTCCCCGAATAGGATAGGGAGGGAAGAAAGCGGCCAATCTGAAAGAGTGAGGAACTCTTGAAGCTGAGAGCAAAGAGAGGAGGTGCTCACATACATTCCAGAAGGCTGCAGAACACTTATTGAGAGAGACGCCAGAACAGAAGACAAAGAGCAGAAAGTTGAACAGCCTTCCTGAAAGATGGATGGAAGTCCAGAGGGCAACACCCTTCCCACCCACATATTTCACCTGCCCCAAGAAGAGCCACGATCATCAAAGGCTGACAGAAACAGTCTTTGGGGAAAGTCAACCAATTAAATGTGTGGTTTGGCTGGTAGGTGATGTGGGTGGGGAGAGGATAGCAGTAAAGAATTTGTGAGGGTGTGGAGGCTTAGAGGTAATGGGCTGAAACTCTGCTGGAGGAGGGAAAGATTTGGGTCACAGTCAAGGAGAGTCATTCCTGTGGTGGGTAGGAAGCAGGACTGTGGTGGAAGAACTGCACGTGTGTTGCAGGCCAGACTTCGCCATTTATAACCATGTGACTCTGGACAAGAACCTGGCCTCAGTTTCTTATCTGGGACTCGTGTGAGGATAACTTCAGAGGAGCACACAATCTCAGATGACTATCATGAAGTCGTCTCTAAGGCTATTTCCATGGGGAAGTGCCACAAAGCTCAGAAATTGTCCTCCGAAAATGCTCTTGTGAGTTTTCAGACCTGGTATCCATCAGAATCACCTGGGGTGCTCGCTGCCAGGTAATCCAATTCTGTGGAAGGGGGAATGAGACCCACAGGTATTTTGTGACTGTCACCTATAGCTTCTGATGTTGCATGTGCTTTGGGAATCAGTGCTCTACGTGTTTCTCAACTCCTGGGGATCCTGTTGAAGGATAGATTCTGAGCCAGTAGGTCTGAAGCAAGGCCCAAGGATCTGCATTTCTAACAAATTCATGGGTGGTGCTAATGCTGCTGGGTGCCCATACTTGCTACTCAACACGTAAGCCAGGCAGCATCCTCACAGTATCGTTTGGGAGCTTGTTAGATGTGCAGAATCTAACATGTGCATTTACCCAAGTGATTTGAATGCACACTGAAGTTTAAGAAATATTGTTCTAGGGCACCTGGGTGGCTCAGTCGTTAAGCATCTGACTTTGCCTCAGGTCATGATCTCACAGTTTCTGAGTTCAAGTCCCACTTTAAGTGAACATGAACCCCGCTCCAGGTGACCCCTGCTTCTCTCTCTCTCTCTCTGCCCCTCATGGGATTCTCTCTCTCTCTCTCTCTCTCTCTGCCCCTCCCTCACTTGCACCCTCTCTCTCTCTGAAAAAAAAAGAAAGAAAAAAGAAATACTGTTCTAGAAGAAGTGACTTACTGACCAGGGAATGACAATTGAAATTTAGGACAAAATGGTAGTTTCTTAAAATGAAACAGAAGTTAAAGAGGGGCAGGGATTTCTATCTATTTTAGTTACTGCCATATTTGTGGGCCTGGCACATAGCAGATGCTCAATCAACATTTATAAAGTGAACGGACAAGATAAGAGTCCAGTTTCTGGAGCCAGGGTGGAGCCAGGAACCACCATGACCTGATACTAACATTAGGTCCAAGGTCTTTTCTAGCCCTCTGTCCAAGACAAGATTGGTCCTGATGCTGTCACAAAGCAGATCTCTGGCCACATGTGGCAAAAGCATGTTAAGTTGTCTCATCTGTGGAGATTAAAAGGCTACAGAAAAATGCAACCAAGAAAATACACCAGCCTTCCTAAGTAGGTCTGCTATAGGAATCAGGGACTGGGCCAACCAGTGGGGAAGTAGGTGACCAAAGAAGCCCCAGGTCCAGAAATAACTGTTTTGGTCTCTATGAGTAATTCCATGAAGCTGCCTGAAACATGTCTGTCACGGGTAGAATTTAGTGCACTCAAA